CCTTGTCGTCCAAGCCTTTGCTTCTAAAGCTGATCTCATCTAGCTCCACGTCCATCCCAGCACCACCCATCACAAGCTCTTCATTCATGCGGTCAATGATGGGCGTCAACCATTGCGAAAATTCCCAAACAAGTCTCTGACAGTGCGGCCCCACCCAGAGTTCACTCGAAAGTTCAAGCTCAAGATCTTTGATGGGCGACAATGGGTGGAAGAGATCAGGGTTGGGGGCACCCAAAAGTTGGATGGGTTCTTTGCAACCTTTCGAAGAGAGGTCGGCAAGCGTCCCATCAACACCACGGGGCCTTCTCCTGCTACGGCTGAGGCAATGGAGACACAACTTCATGAGCGAGTGCGCACCTTTCAGTTTTTGCATTGGTTTTCCTTTACGGATGCTTTTCAAGTCTTTGCGGAAATGCGCAAGCTTGAACGTGCTTCCGTTGGCTCCGTAACGTGGCCAAGCTTGGCTAGTTTTGGAAAGGGAAAGGCAAAGCCTTCCACTGCCCCTGAAACGAAATCTGCAGAGGAGGTTCCTGCTGTTTTGGTGCCTCCTGCAGAAGAATCGCCTCAGCCGCTTTCACTGTCCTGTGATGAAGAGCACGAGCCAGTGTATTCGGAAGGCGAGGACGTTCAAAGCGAACTTTTCGATCCCGAAGAAGAAGAGCTTATTTTTGACAACAAAGGGATCAGAGTCTTGAACTAGCTAGCAGAAAGCAGAAGATGTTAGAAGTTTGCCAGAGTTTTGCACGTACAAAAAGAGCTGTGCGTTTTTGGAGTCGATTCCGGTGCATGGTGAGGCTGGGGAATCCAAGTCAGGTCGGTTCAGATCAAGGCTTCGTTTTTGACGTGGTTGTTTGGCAGTGTTTGGTCTTGTGTTGCCTTCTGTTTCCGTAGACACAGTTTTGGGTGGCTTGTCAGCTTGATGGGTGGGTTTGCTAGGCCAGGGGACAGCTTCTTTAAGGGTGTAACACATCGAGCGGCGTGGCCTGGAATTGCTGCCTTGGAGCGGCGTGTTGGTGGCCGCATTTCCACTTGCGGACTGTGGGTGCCGGTTTGTTAGGCTGCGTACGCCTCCTTTGAAGACGTGACGCCTCGAGCGGCGGACCGCTCTTGCTGCGAGGCCCCTTAAAAAAGGTCGCGGCGCCTCGAGCGGCGCGGCTGACGCCGCGCCGCCCTGCGGGCGGCGCGGCGTTTTGAGCGGTTAAAGGTTAACCGCGCGCGACGCCGCGCCCGGCGCTTCTTTCTTCTGATTGGCTGAAAAGCTTTTGCTTGAAGAACGCAACCCAGCGTTGAGTGCTTATTAGCCTGTCAGAACTCTCTAAAGAAGAGGAAGAAGAAGTCGAATAAGAAAAATAAGGCGGGCGCGGCATTTAAAACGGTCATTTTGACCATGCGAGATGTTGCGCAAACGAATACGCGGCATTTAAGACGGTCGGTGTTTTTTCTTTATTTTTTTCAACCATGTTAAATGCTGCAGATATGAAGCTGTGGCATTTGTACTGGCAATTTTGATTGATTTGGAGTGATTTTTTCTTGTTGCAGCTGTTTCTTTCAGGAGAAGTCGAAAAGAAGCCATGGCTCGTGTGGCAGCCATGGCTGCTCGCTGGCGCGGCGGCACCATCACCATGGGCTCTGCTGGTTGTGACAGACGTGTTCGTGCTCGCACCAGCAAGCGTCGAACACCTGGTCAGCGACATGAGGAAAGCGGAAGACAAAGCTAAAGAAGTTGCTGCAGAAGCCCCTGCAGAACCTTCCCCTTCTTCTGCAGTTCCAGTTCCGCCTGTACGCGAACCTCAAGTTGCTGCAGAACCTTCCTTCTCTTCAGTTCCACCTGCACGCGAACGAGAACCTGTGGAGTACATTCGAAAGGAGCAGAGAAGTCCAAACAGAAAGCGCGGAAGAGCTCCAGTGCTCGGACGCACTTCTTTGAAGACAAGAACGTCTCTGGACGACATTTTGTCCTCCAGTCCTGTGGAAGCTGCAAAGCTGCTCATGGACGCAGGTTTCTTGCTTCGTGACCCTTCTCAGACTGGAACTTGCAAGTGCGAAGATGGTGGACGCTGGAAGCTTGAAGAACAAAGTCTTTCTTGCCAGTGGCGGTGCAAGAGCTGCAGAAAGACAGTGGCGGTCACCAGACGTGAAGACGAGCTTTTTAGTGGAACTAGACTTGCTTTGAGGTCTCTGGCAGGCGCTCTCTGGGTTTACACTTCGAACTTCTGTCACCAGACCAGGCAAGTGTCATCTTGGGTGTTGACTCTCGCGTTCTCCGGTCGCTGTTTGAGAAGTTCAACCAGTTGTTCACGCCCATGATAGACCAGTTGAACAACTCGCTTATTTTGGGTGGCTGCAGCACTGACGTTGAGCTGGACGAAGTGTCTTTCAGGTCCGTGGGACGTCCTGGAGGCATAGTCTGGCTGCGGTACTTGGCAGTGGCACGGCGAGGCTCCAGCAAAGTGTGGCTGCAACGTCTTCCTTACCGTGTCACGCAGGCTGGTCAAGGTGGGGGAGGACCTCTGTCTGTGGCTGAAATGACAGAGACCTTGTTGCTGGATTCGGACGAACCCGTTCTAGCAAAAGGCTCTGTTTGCCATACCGATGGTGCGAAAGCGTACAGAAGCCTAGCAAGTCCGTTAAACAACGGAACCCTTTCCAACTTTAGTTCTTTGAAGCTTTCCCACACTTGTGTCAAGCACAAGCCACCCCACCCGGAATTCACCAAAAGATTCCGGGTTGAGGTTTGGACCGGAGAGGAGTGGGAAGAACAAACGCGGTTGGGGGGAACCCAAAAGTTAGACGGGTTCTTTGCTAGCTTTCGAAGACTTGTGGGGAAGAAGCCGCTGAACACTGTTGGCTCTTCAGACTCACAAGCACCGCGGATGGAACAGCTTATGCATTTTGCAGTCCGTGCCTTCCAGTTGAAGTTTTGGTTTGCTGGTTGTGACATGTTTTCTTTGTATGGGAAGCTTCGTGAAACCGCCAGAGGTGGTCATGATGTTACCTGGACATGTTTGTCTTCATTTAAGGTTGCTGTTGACACTTCTCCTGTACAGGCAAGCAGAGAGGCTGTCGCTAGCAGAGAAGCTGTAGAGGTTGTTGCTTTGGACAGCCCAGCAAGCGAGCTCTTTAGCGAGCTCTTTGACGGTGAGTGAAAGAATCTGGTTTGTCCGTTTGTGGTGTTTGGGGCAGGGTTTGGGTTTTCAAGGGGTCCAGACACCCCCCCCCACCCCCCCCCCCCGCCCCCCCCCCCCACACCACCCCCCGCCCCCACCCCCCCCCCCACCCCCCCCCCACCCCCCCCACCCAACCCCCCCCCCCCACCCCCCCCCCCCCCGCCCGCCCCCCCCCTTTTACATACTTAATCTTGCTTGCCGTGTAAAACGCCGCGCCCGGCAAAAATAATTTGTTTGCGCATTAGCGGCGAGACAAAAAGGAAGCAGGCGCTAGCGTAGCCGTATCCTGAGCCGATACCAGGGGTTCGATGGACTCTCGACTTTCTGTTTAATGACCTTCCACCTTTGGTGTCGTGAAAGAGTTAAAATTCTCAGAAACCAACACAAAAAGTTCTGAGTCTTCCCTTCGCACTCTTCTAGGGCTTGACTTCTAACGAACTTGGAGTGAGAGTTCACTCTCACTTCTCGATCTGCCCCAGGTCTCTCCGGGTAAACAGTCCATGGAAGTTTCTTCAGCTTTCTTGCAAGCATAGACCTCACATTCGCGCAACATCTGCCGGCGTCACGGCAAACAAACGAAAATGATAGGATTAAGAGGTGGTCTTGGGCCTGTTGTTGCGTGCACGAGCTGTGGCAACACTTGGAATCTGTTTAGGTTTCGGCTCAGAGGTTACGGTATCGAGTTTCGGGCAAAGTCAAGGCAACCAATCCCGGCTCAAGTTTCAAGCTGTATCCCCAACGGCACCCGCTTGTACGAGCTCAGGATGTCTAGTCTGCGACTCGCGGCTTTTAAGAAGGGGGCTTTTGGGTTTTCATTCCCATTTCTTATTCCTCATTGATCTCTTTCCACAACAATTCGCGTCCAAATGTAATTCATTTAATAATATATGAATATTCATTTTATTCGTTTATTCATTTCATACTTTTCTTAATTCATCCGTTCACGAATTATAAAATCTAAGATTTTATCATTTCTTGAGAATATCGCAAATTAGCATTATGTATGTTAATTCGTAGAAATAGAATATATGAAGATCATTAAAATCCCATTAAAATCTCATATAAAAAACTCATTGTCTTTCGTAGATGATTAGCGCCAAAAGAATATTATCATGAGCTCCAGAATCAAGAGAATATCATCCTTATAATGAATCCAAAAAATGGGAATGAATAAAAATATTATGAAATTTAGTTATTATAGATATCCCATTAATAATTAATCTAACCTATCTATTTTTTATCTTCATTATATTATTTATAAATTAGCTTCATAATTTTGTAAGAATTAAATAAGTATTTCTCAAGTAAAATAAAATATATTAAATTATAGATAAATATCATTCTATTAATGAAAGAATATTAAAAGAATATTTTAGAAAGTAATATGAATCTCATGAAAGGAATATGAAAAATATAATCATATGAAATTTTCTTGTGATCATATCCATTAGGATCAGAAAAAATCAATATAAAGATTTATGATCTCACTATTACCAATTAAATGTAAAATCTTCATTGAGAAAAAATTATCTTCTTATAGAAGATCAAAAAATCTAAATATTCCTCGAAAAAATGATAAAATCCACGGCGAAATGTTTCCATTTTATAATTCAGAAAATCCAAATATTTTCTCTAATTTATTCTCAAATATATTATTTTAATCGCGTATATTATCTATCATAATCTCATCTATGATCCGAATTCTTCATATCATGCCTTTGTATTTATTGAACATAAATATTCCATTTCTGAGCTTTGTCGAGCTTTAGGGTTTAGGGTTTAGGTTTTAGGGTTTAGGGTTTATGGAAGCTGATAAATTCCAAGCCTTGAACCATGGCTGCACACTGCATGCCGGCCGTGCACCACCTGGGTTCCACAACAGCGGGGCTGCTTGCTTTGTTCGGAGCTCAGAGCGCCATCTTGACAGAGTTCTCAGTCGCATTGCATTCGCATTGCATGTCAGCGTCTGCGAGTCTTAAGATGAGGCCTTCTACCCTAGAGTAGACACCGGTGGCAGCAAGAGCAGTGTGTTGTTTTTGTTTTTGAGATTTTTAAAACAGTTGTGGCTTGTTTGTTGTGAGGTGCTTCACGATGTGTTTTGGGAAGGCTGTGGACTTCGAGGATATATTCTGCAGCGACCTGGGCTATCAAGAACATGATATCGGCATGTGGACATCCGCTTGTTGCAAAGAGGTGCGTCGTGTTGTTTCGTGTCGTGTTGTGTCTCTGATGCATATGCTTTTTGCATGATGCTGCAGCATGACTTTCGTTGTGTGCGTCAGGTGTCTTGTCACTGCAGGTCAATAGTCAATCTGCAGTTGAGGTGACGGCCTGACACCAGCCGAGCCTCTAAGCCTGCATGAAGCAGCAACCGCTGGCAAGTTCATGCGAGGGGAAAGGTATACCGGGAGAGATTGAACTCTGAGCAGGTGTGCGCCGTTCCTCCCTTCAGAGCAGCGGGCGATCTCTTCCTTTTTGCAGGCCAGTAACATGATGACGTCGTTCAATCCATGCATCCATTTTTTTGTGCCACGGCAGGACTTGCAAAGGATGCCGATGCCCAAGCCAAGTTGCCTCGACATTGATTTGTGGGTACCATAAACCTACACCCTAAACCCTAAACCCTAAACCCCTAAACCCGTTGCAGTAGTACCACCAGCTTGCTAGCGCCTGCCAAAGCCCAGAACAGCCCAGGTTCTTTCCAAGGTCGAGGTATCGTGATGAGTGGAGGACCCATGCACGTCTTGCAGGCCTCTTGCCACAATTTGGGTTTAGGGTTTAGGGTTCAGGGTTTAGGGTTTAGGGTTTAGGGTTTAGGGTTCAGGGTTTTGGGTTTAGGGTAGTCGGAAGGAACACGGCCGTCCTTGATCCCTGCCCTAGGCCCTGACCACTCCCGAGCCCATCCTGCACCCATCCTACACCCCGAAAACTCCCTACTAAACGCTAAACCCTAAACCCTAAACCCTAAACCCTAAACCCTAAACCCTAAACCCTAAACCCCAAACCCTAAACCCTCCACCCTAAACACAAACTCCCTAAACCTCATAACCTCCAAGAGGCTCTGGCGAACTTGGCGGTGTTGCGGGAGCAGCTGCAGTCCGACCTTCCCGTCGAGCCTCTCTCTTTCAAGAAACACTCGATAGGGCTTTGGGGCCTGGGGGGTGAGGGTTTAGGGTTTAGGATGCAGGGTGTCTAGGGTTTACTGGCTTCTTGCATGCAGGTTTCGGGTTTTAACGATTGGGATTGCTCCCGGGTGCTAAAGCACCACTTTCGCTGGCACCGCTATAGTGACCCACCCACTCCCTCCACCTTGATGAATATCTTTTAGGCTCTGCGGTTTTTCTTTTCGACACTTCCAGACGACGCGGCAAGTAATTTTTGGGCAACAGAAGCCGCCCTCCAAAAACTTGGAGGTACTCGCGGCTTCTGGGAGCCTGTTGGGAAATGGGAAGCACCTTCATATACTTGGAGGGCAGAAGTCAAGGCGACATGCCGTAGTCCCGACGTTATGAGCAGAAATCGATGTGTTTCCGAGCCCTCTCTCTCTCTCTCTCTTCTCTCTCTCTTCTCTCTCTCTTCTCTCTCTCTCTCTCTCTCTCTCTCTCTCTCTCTCTCTCTCTTTTTTAATATCTTCATACTTTAACCCCGAACAGGACCAAAAGGCCGTCTTGGTTTTGATGAGTGGAAAATGGGCTTTGCGGGGGTACTGTTCAGTGTAGACATGGGACACTTCGTTGGAGACGTTTCGTAAGACCCTACAAGCTCGTGCCTGGCCGCATGGAACAGGCTTTGGGCCAACAGTCTGCATCGCATTCTGGGGGCGAACTCTGGGAAGCCCGGGGCCAAAGCCCTCAAGCCCTGAAGCCCTAAAGCCTTAAAGCAACCCTAAACCCTAGACCCTATATAGACCCTAGACCCTAGACCCTAAACCCTAAACCCTAAACCCGAAACCCTAAACCCGAAGCTCCTTTGAGGTTTTGGCACGCCTTTGAGCTGGAGGAAGCTCACTGTCGGGCCTTGGAGAGGCGGGGCGCGACGTGTCGTCAGCTGCAGGCCCGTGTGGGATGGCTTTGGCTCTTTTTGGGGGTTTCGGGTTTTTTAGGGAGGGTTTAGGGTTTAGGGTTTAGGGTTTAGGGTTTAGGGTTTAGGGTTTAGGGTTTAGGGTTTAGGGTTTGGGGGCTCCTCGGGTTTCGGGAAACCCTTAAAATGATCTTCAATTGGGGTTTTCCTATCGCCAGCCAAAGCTATCATTCTTCTGCTTGGAACTACAGTCTGTGCAGTGATCATTCCCCGTGAACCTTGTGAAGGTTTTAGGGTCAGGTCCTCAGATCCGATTTAGGACCGCTTTACTTGAGTTTTTGGGCATCGATGGCCCCTGGTCGAGCTTTGCTTCCGTCTTGCCGCGTATCTTTTGCTGCAATGACTGTAGCTAAACCCTAAACCCTAAACCCTAAACCCTAAACCCTAAACCCTAAACCCTAAACCCTAAACCCTAAACCCTAAACCCTAAACCCTAAACCCCTTTTCGATTCCATATGCTCATATCAAGTCGCAGGAGCGCTCTCAAATGTAAAAGGGCCAGTCTTACAGGGGTGGGGTGAATGAGGCAGGATGCTGATGAGAAGCAGAACGAGCTCCGCTGTCAGCGTGTGAGGGGTATGCGAAAGCAGTGATAGAACGACGAAGCAAGTTCTTACGAACTAAGTCTACTCCCCTAAACCCTAAACCCTAAACCCTAAACCCTAAACCCTAAACCCTAAACCCTAAACCCTAAACCCTAAACCCTAAACCCCTAAACCCCTAAACACCTAAACCCTAAACCCTAAACCCTAAACCCTAAACCCTAAACCCTAAACCCTAAACCCTAAACCCTAAACCCTAACCCTAAACCCCTAAACCCCTAAACCCATTCGGTGCCCTGGCCAGGTCCCTGGAGTGTATCGCGACTTCCAGACGATCCTGCCGCCGCCCATCTGGATCCCCTAAGCCCCACGGGTTGGCCTAAAACCCTAAAATCTAAATTTAGGGTTTAGGGTTTAGGGTTTAGGGTTTCGGGTTTAGGGTTTAGGGTTAATTATGGTGCCTTGCCTTCTGTAAAGGGTTCTGAAGTAAGGGCCGTTGGGGTTTAAAGGGTTTCTACCCACTTAAGGGCCCACACGAACGGACCATGTACCTGCCCTAAGATAAAAACCCTAAACCTCTGAAGCCAAACCCTAAACCAACTAGTCATCACGACCCCAAAGCCCCAGGTAGAGGTGGGATCATGGGCACCCAAGCCACCTCAACGGTCAAAGCCCCCAAGAAGGTCCATCATGTCCTCCTCCTTCAAGGAGGTCCTCTGGATGGACACCGACCTGACCCTGTTACAGCGGCCGGAGCTGCTCTTTGAATCGCCCCAGTTCAGACGTGCTGGCCTGAGAGTTGGGAGTTGATTTTTTTTTGTTTCTTTCAGGGGTTAGGCTGAGCCGTATATTCAAGCCCTACAAACCCATTCCCTAAACCTTATAGACCCTCAACTCTACTCCCCAAGGGGGGGGGGCACAATTAAAACACCACCCGCCATGTGACGTCGCAAGGCTTTGGCGCGCTGCTGTGGCCGGACTCTTGGGCAAGATTGAGTTTGAATGGCACTCCCAGCTTCCTTTAAAGGCCCTGCGGGTTAGGGTTTAGGGTTTAGGGTTTAGGGATTAGGGTTTGCCTCGATCTGAAGCTTGCATGGTGTGGGCTGACAACAAGCCAAGCCAAACCGCGGCTAGTGAGGACCACTGGTCCTTTGACTGCCGGCCGTGGGGGCAGAGCGCCCGGTCCAATCACGTGGTGCTGAAGCCGCCCTGCTGCAACCTGCACGCGAGCCTGCGCGAGCCCGCGCGAGCCCCCTCCCGACGATCCCCGACGCCTTGAAGCCTCATCCAACAGCCTACATCCCTGAAGCTGACTGATTGCAAACTTTCTCGACAGCTGCCCCCACACGCAATGCCACCGACCTAACTTGGCAGGTTATTGGACTTGGAGCACAATGCTTCGGACATGCTGCCAGAATGCAAGAGGTTTAGGTTTTGGCATACATTTCGCTGGTTTAACCGCTTGCTCAGAGAGCAGAGTGCGCAATCCGAGGTTTTCGGGCTCCGGGAAGGAAGAAACTGCCCAGAAGGGACCCTTTAATCTTGAAATAAACTCCTTCTTAACCCAAGGGTCCCTACAAGGGTCTCCTCTTGGGGTTTCTGAAGCTCGGGCCTCTCCAAACTGGCGCTCACACAAGCTTTGCACGCGGTAGTTGTAGCACCCTAAGCCCTAAACCTTGAACCATAAACCCTAAACCCTCAACCCTAAACCTTCATCCGCAAACCCTAAACCCTAAACCCTAAACCCCAAACCCTAAACCCTTCAAGTGTGCCCACGTTGACGTTTCGTTGGACGGGCACTCTGCTCTTCCTGAGCCTTTTGTACACTTTTCGCACAGCTCCTCACCAAAGAGCCCAGTACCCTTTAAGTAAGGAATATACCTTGAAATCATATGGCGGTTTTCGAAACTGGGGGTACCTTATTGGGGCTCCTTTGTAGAAGGGAATCCTGCTATTTGGGGTCTATTTATGGGGTCCCCTACTTTCGTACACCCCCACATGAAGTATTCCATATGTCTATTCCTTGATTAAGGGGTATTGGAATCCCACACGTGACCACAATGATTGGGCTCTTTGGGAATCACCATGCCCCAACAACCCAGGTTGCATGCGCAGGAGCAAGAGACCGGCCTCTTCCTCATCAACAAGGCGGGTTTGGGGTTTTGGACCCTTAGCCCAAAACCCTAACCCCCAAACCCTAACCCTGAACCCTCAAAAAGGTTCAGGGTGTAGGGTTCCTAAAACCCTGACTCCAAAGCCCTGAAGCCAAGAGGCTACAGGTCCGAAAATTGCGAGGCTTGCTTGAACCCCCGGAGCCGTGTACCTCGTATTTCATGCGTGTTTTTTCTCAAGGATCCCTCATATAAGTTAAGGCCTAGCCTTAATTTAGGGGTCTTGAGCTCTCTGGGTTATTCTTTGTGCGAGGAGGTTCACTGGAAGCCAATCTGCTTGGCCAACTTCATGGCATCGCGGGATTTCTTCACTCTCGTCCTCCACGGGAACAAGGACGTACCACAGCCCGGCCTAAACCCTGAATCCGAGTGTGGGGCCGAACCTCTTTCACCTGCCCTCTCTCTTGTCCTACACCCTAAACCCTAAACTCTAAACTTGGCCCTAAACCTCGCAGACCCCCCCCCCTCCAACTTCCACGTCTCTCAGGATCTCCTCCGTCTGGCCTTCGCGAAGCTGAACAACTCGGTCTGGCTAAGCCCCCTCCGGCCCGGCCTGCGCCTTGGTTGGCAAACGCAAAACCGTAAACCTTAAACCCTCAGCTCTAAGCCCTAAGCCCGAAACCCTACCCTATGTAAACCCCATAGCCCAGAACGACTTGAAGCACTGTAGGGTTGACTTTTGATTCAGTTTAGTATGTGGACTTGCAGGATTCAGGGGCTCAGGGGAGGTTTATGGTTAAGGGGTTAGGGTTCAGGCTTAGGCCACTTCTAGCTGAACTGGGTAGATCTCAACCCTAACCCCTGAAGATTAACGGGTTTAGGGTTTAGGGTTTAGGGTTTAGGGTTTAGGGTTTAGGGTTTAGGGTTAGTATCGACCTGCCAGGATCGGCGGCTTCATGTCCAACGGCTTGTTCCTGCCAGCGTCCATGGTGCAGTTACCCGCCTGGAGGGCTTGTCGGGCTGGAGGAGTTTTAGGGTTTAGGGTTTAGGGTCTAGGGTAAAGTTTGGGGTTTAGGGTCTAGGGTTTGGGGTTTAGGGTTTAGGGCTTGGGAGTGTTCATGTGTGTCATCTCTGTCTTGTGGCAGTATGCTATTGCAGGAGACTCCATTTCAGCACCCTGGCTTCATACCTACTTCCCCCCTGAAAAGCCCATGCTATTCCTTTGGACCCTCGACCCTAGACCCTGGACCTCAAGCTTGCGGTTTCCAGCTTGTCTTCCTGAAGATGGTTGAGCAGCGCCATTAGGGATGCTCGGGTAGGGCCTGCGTGTATTCACTTTCATGGTTTCACCTTACAAGAACAGCTCCGAAGTCTGGAGCAAAAAGGGCGCAGACCCGATCGCGATTAGACCCGAATCGACCACCCAGTGTTGAGGTCCCTTGTCTTTTGTTTGCGACGCATGGCTTCGTGCACCCCGGGCCCGGTATTCCCGAAAACCTAAGCTCATCGCTGAAGCTTCTCCTGAACTCTGATCCCTGACATTTCTAAACCCGTATACCTTACTCTGATCCCGGGAGTTCCTGGACCTGTAGACGATATATATATATATATGTATATATATATATATATGTATATACAGTTATATACTCCTATTACAAAGAAAGGTTAGGTACCCTTTTTGGGGCTCGGGTACTCAGCCCCTAAGTGCAGGTTCTGGCCCGCCAACGGCACCTTTGGAACCGGACCAAATGGCCGTGCCGTGCCGGTTTTTCTTCATCAGAAGACGCTTTGCGGTTTGGGCTTCTCCGAACATTGGGGACCTCCTTGTTTTTTCTCACCCGAGTGCTATCATCCCTCTTACAGGAACCCTCAAAAGGGTACCCTGCTTTGGGAAAAGATTGGTTTGGGTTTGGAAGCTTTGAAACCCTTACACCCTGAACTCTGGGGTTCTTATTCGTAGTGGGGAATGAGGAAGTCTTACACCTAAACCCTAAACCCTAGGTACTTCCCTGAAGGGTATATAGTTTAGGTGGATGTAAGTGTATAAGGTGAACTAGTAAGGCCTTCGAGTTGATTTCACATTGTGTTTTGGGGTTTAGGGTTTACGGTTTAGGGATCTCGACCCTAAACCCTAAACCCTAAACCCTAAACCCTAAACCCTAAACCCTAAACCCTAAACCCTAAACCCTAAACCCTAAACCCTAAACCCTAAACCCTAAACCCTAAACCCTATGTCCAGTTTTTGTGAAGATCAGGAAGGTGCCTGGCAACCTCTGGGTGGATATACTGACCTTTACCACACCGCTTCCCAGCCGCAGCGTGACCCTAAACCCTAAACCCTAAACCCTAAACCCCAAACCCTAATCCCTAAACCCTAAACCCTAAACCCTAAACCCTAAACCCTAAACCCTAAACCCTAAACCCTAAACCCTAAACCCTAAACCCTAGACCCGCCCTAAACCCTAAACCCTAAACCCTAAACCCTAAACCCTAAACCCTGAACCCTGAACCCTGAACCCTGAACCCTAAACCCTAAACCCTAAACCCTAAACCCTAAACCCTAAACCCTAAACCCTGAACCCTGAACCCTGAACCCTAAACCCTAAACCCTAAACCCTAAACCCTAAACCCTAAACCCGAACTTCCATGCTCCATGTCCCTGGTGAGAATCCGACGGAAAAGCGACGTCGCACAAGCTGCAGAGCCCCCAGCACCCCTCATGTCAGAGATATACCTTAATTCTTATCTAAGATGTGGGGTATGGTTTCTAGTCCAGCTAGAGGGGTCTAGAAGAACTTAGATAACTTATTTCATATTTCGGATCCATTTCTAAAATGGTGTATTCCTTCGTTCAGGGGTATTGGGCGCTCAGGGAACCAACACACCGTGACATACCGTGTAGTTTAAGGGGGTATCGGGCTCTTTGAGCAAACTCGCATGTGCATGAACAGAATTGGCGGCATGGCGGCATGGCATAGGGATTAGGGTTTCGGGTTTCAGGTTGGGGCGGGGTAGGAGGGGGGGTCAACGAACTAGGTAGGTTGACAAGGCAAGCGATCTGAAGCAAGCTTCTGGCCCCCCCAAACCCAGATCCTCCAAACACTAAACCCTAAAAATCTTTCCAAACCCTAAACCCTAAACCCCTCTCAACCCTACAGCCCCTTAAACCCTAAGGCTGGGCACCTGCAGCCCGTACTTTCCGGTCCCTTTCCACCCCCACACCATGGACGATATCCTTTCCTGGCGGATCGAGACTGGGCTATTGTTTATGAAACTTAAAATTAATGGATTGGGATGCCCCCCTTATACTAACAGTCCTGCATAGGGGTTATAGTACCCCCCTGTACTCAGAATCCCTATTAAGGGCTGTTAGTATAAGGGGGAATATGCCCATGAATGGAAGGGCAACAACTATTGTGGTCTTTTAATCCCATGTCCAGCAGGAGCTTGGACTAAGTTAGCATACTTAGTATACATAAAAGTGTATGCTACGTGAAGAACAGATAGCAGTTTGTACCGCTTCCTTACGCTGGCAACTTACTGTATCCAAGACTCTAAAGCCCTAAAGCCTGAACCCTAAACCCTGATCCCTCAACTCTGAACCCTAAACCCTGAACCCTGAAACCCTGAACCTCTCAACCCTAAACCCTGAACCCTGGAACCCTAAGCCCTGATCCCGAAACCCTGAACCCTGAAACCCTGAACTCTGAAACCCTACGCCCTGAAACCTCAACCCTGAACCCCTGAACCCCTGAACCCTGAAACCCTAAACCCTGAAACCTCAACCCTGAACCCTGAAACCTAAATCCTAAACCCTCAGCCCCTGAACCCTGAACTCTGAACCCCTGAGCCCCTGAACATCCCCAACTATCCAGTTCCTGGAAAGAAGCAGCCCAGGAGAGGACCGACCTCGATCTTGCGCCATGGCTTCCCGTTGGAAGTTACAGGGTTTGGAGTTTAGGGTTTGGGGTTTAGGGTTTAGGGAGTTAGGGGTTTAGGGTTTGGGGTTTAGGGGTTCAGGGTTGAGGCTTCAGGGCTTGCAGGTTTCAGGCTTGCAGGGTTTCGGGCTCAAACCTTAGTGCAGGTTAGGGCGGGCTCCGCCTTTTTGCTGAGGCAAACAGGATCAGTATCGCCGACGTCACCTGGGACGAGGCAGCTGGAAGGTGGTTCGGTCACTGTCTTAGACGTTTTCGCTTTCGGCACAAGCTCAGAAGACAGGTAGTTACATGCAACGCCCCCAACCCTCCGGGTTGGCAAGAACTCCATGCGCAGTCTTCAAGGCCTGTGCGTACCCCCAACCCTGACACCTAAAGGGCTCAGACCCCAAACCCGAAGTGACTCTGGGCATGATTGAAACCCGGAACCCTAAACCCTAAACTCTAAACCCTACACCCTAAACCCCAAACCCTAAGCCCTAAGCCCTAAGCCCTAAACCCTAAACCTGATGCTGCCAGGCGTATGCGGAGGGCCGACGAAGCCTGCGGCCGCTTCTGTGGTGACCTAAGATGCTGGCCTAAACCCTGCACCCTAAACCCTAGACCCTAAACCCTAAACCCTAAACCCTAAACCCTAAACCCTAAACCCTAAACCCTAAACTCCTAGACCTTAAACCCCAAACCCCAAACCCCAAACCCCAAACCCGAAAAAAGCAAGCCAGGCTAAAGCACGGGGGCTTCCCAAGTCGTGACCCATGCTATGGTCCCTTTTTGCGTTCCATACATGCAAGGGTCCGTTGCAGAACAGGCCGTCATTTCGGGGTAAAGATGTCCATCTGTAATGGTACAAAGTAACAGCAACTCCGGCAACAAGCCCTTCAAGAAGGGAACTGCACCTTAAGGTGTTGGGATACTTCTTTTGTTTTAAAAGGGGACAAAAGGTTGCCCTCTCAACCCTAAACCTTAAGCCCTGAACCCTGCACCCCTGAGCCCTAGCCCTACGCAAGCCCCAAAGGCAATCCGAAGCCCTAGGCCCTAGGCCCTAGGCCCTAGGCCCTAAGCCCTAAGCCTTAAGCCCTAAGCCCTAAGCCCTAAGCCCTAAGCCCTAAGCCCTAAGCCCTAAACCCTGATCCTTCAGACTCCCCCTCTGTGACCCAACCGTAGGTTTATGGTTAAAACAGAAACCCCAGGGCGCCTCCCCCCAAGAGCCCTTTCGACCCCCTTAGACAAGGAATATGATTGAAATCATATTGAGGATTCCTAGCTTAAAGGCGGGTTTAGGGTTTAGGGTTTAGGTTCCTTAGTTGTGCTACTTTTTTTGGGGTGGGCTCTGTAACCGGGGTTTCCATGTCTCAGGTCGGAAGAGTCTCAAGCCATGCTGGAACCGAAGAAAGCGGAGCAAGAGGCCTACGTGCAGCCGGAGGCCCCAATTGGCCGTGCCCTAGGCTAACAGTCCTTAATAGGGATTCTGTGGGGGGGGGGGTATTAAATCCCTATTCAGGACTGTCACCGAATCCTAAACCCTAAACCCCAAGCGGAACTTTAGCCCCTTTGTACTTGTGTTCGTCTGGAATGAGGGTTATGTTCAGGGAGGCATGGCAAGTAAAGCTCCCCTTAGCTTGGAACCCTTAAACCCCAGTCATCAGATAGAAGCACCTAGCCCTAAACCCTAAACCCTAAACTCTAAACCCTAAACCCTAAACCCTATACCCTAAACCCTGCACCCTAAATCCTAAACCCTAAACCCCAAACCCCAAACCCCAAACCCTAAACCAAAAACCCAAAACCCTAAACCACCATCCCTTATAAGGGTGTCACCCTTTCGCCCTCCAGCCCTAAGCCTTAGGTTCCCCCTGAAGGGTCTCTCCTTTCGTTTCGTAAGTTGAGGGTTTGGGGTTTGGGGTTTGGGGTTTGGGGTTTAGGGTTTAGGGTTCAAGGTCAAACTCCGAGCGTCTGGGTTTGAGCCGTCTGGTCAGGTTTGAAATGGAAAGTTGCGAGTCGGAAGTCTCCTCGCGCAGTTTGGAGTGTAACCTCCAACCCCAAACCCGAAACCCTAAACCTCAAACCCTGAACACGAGACTGATCAACCCCGAGGCCATGGACCCCAAGGCTACCCATGCCGTGACCCCTTGATAACTCAGCAACCATGATACAACAAGGGGTTTGGGGTTTGGGAGGTAGGTAGGGTTAAGGGTTTAAGGTTCAGGGTTTTTAGGAGAGTTTAGGAGTCAGGGTTTAGGGTTGACCGGGGCGAACGCACCGAAGCCCCTCCGTAGGGCGACGGAGCTCTCAGTCCCGAAAACAGCTACGGGCTGTGCGGGGAACCCGCTCAACCCTCAACCATCAACCCCTAAACCTGAACACCCTAAAGCCCAAGCGACAAACCCCAATCCCTAAGCCCCAAAGCGCCTCAAAAAACCCCGCAGAGCCCGAAGGACACAGACGACTTTGTCATGATTGCGCAAGAAGAAGGGGCGGGATGCGGCTACCGGCTTACAGGGTTCAGGGTTTAGGGTTTTAGGGTCTTAGTGTTTTGAGGGTTAGGGTCTAGGGTTTAGGGTTTAGGGTTTAAGGTTTACGGTGTAGGGTTCAGGGTTTAGGGTTCAGGGTGTGAGGTTGTTCAAAAGGGGGGCTTCTCCCTTCTTTTTTTGTGGGGACCTTACGAGTTGATGAGGCCTCATCCCCTGCCCCTCTTTTGGAAATTCTTCCCCTTGTAGTGCATTGTAATCATAGGAAGATTGTATATTGGAGCGGTGGGTGGGTGGGGTGGGTGGGTGGGTGGAGGGCTTTGTGCTTAGAGGAGGCTGCTTTGTCCGTAAGTTTGTGCGCGCGGTTGAGGTTGCGACTACAATGACAACTTCTTCTTGTACGTGCTCTCGGTGCTGCCTTCAGCTGCTCCAGGATCTAGCCTTTTCGGGGGGGACGCGGGTTTGAGGTCTCATTCTTTGTAAGGGAGCCAGGGTGGCTGTATCAGCAGCGATGTGGTGCATGTGCATGCACGCCTCACTTCCGCGGCAGTGCCGCAAGTGTGAAAAAGCCTTGTTGGTCCCAGGTCGTGTCCTATCTGCAGCTGGGGTACGAGTCCTCAGTCAAAGATGTGCCTGGACAGCACAGGCAACGCAAAAACCCAAACTCGCGCCTGTCTTAAGCGCGCCGGAGAAGCGGTTCAGGTGGTTCAGGGTTCAGTGTTGATACAGGGTGTGTATTTGGCTTTTGTACGGAGGGTCCGTGAAGCAGAGCCTGCAGGGTCTCTTGTGCTCTTAAGGGTTTAGGGTTTGAAGGAAAAGGTGAAAGCATGTGTCGCTCTTTTAGAGGTTCGTGAGAAGTCCTGAAGAGTCGCGAAGGGGTCCGTCTGGGGTGGGGGGTTGGGAGTCAGGGGGTTCGCCAGGGCAGTCTTTACAATTCAGATGGCCAACAAGTTTGGGAGCCCAGGGTTGATCGAGGCAACCCCACCCACCCGTCCCCAAAGAAAAGGCTCAATTACAAGGGCTTGGTGCAGCAGGAGGTGTCCCGGAAGGTTTTAGGAGGTTCCCCCCGCATGGTCCTTGAGCTTCCGCCAAAGGGAGGGTTTCACTATCCAACACGCCGCCAGGATTAGCTTGGACTCGGCCGAAGCCATAAACCCTCAAAACGCAGCCCAAACTTTTCAATCTGACCGAGGACTTCTGCGAGCCGATCCTCCAAGAGTTCGACTGGGCTCCCTGCCGGGTCGGCTATGCCACCTTGGCGCTGCTGTGCTCGCAGATCTTGCGATCGAAGCCCGAACCTTGCCTGGGTCCGAAGCCGCGTTGGGGGTGTAAGGTTTACTAGGATCTAGTTAATCTAGTTACTAGAAGAGTCTTGGACACATTTTCTGTCACTGTTAGGTTTTGGATACTTCAGCGTCTCCGGCAGGGGCCGGTCCTGTCGCTCCAGGCTCGGGCCAAAGCCGAAGCCGAAGTCTGAAACTTCTTCCCAAACCCCGACGTGTCTGGCAACCTCGTCGCAGGATCAGGCTTGGAACCCGGGCCGTTCCCGGGCGGCCAAAACCCCCTTTGGCTGATCCAGGGAGAAGAGCCAAAAGCAGAGCTCCAAAGTCTGCCTCTGTGGCATCGTGGCCCGGGACCGTCCCGCGGTTCCGTTTCGGCTGCCAAGCTCCCCAGTCTCCCGCGGCTCTCTGGGGCGCCGTTTCTCCATAGCTTTCGAAAAAGGACAATCTCGCAAGAAGCGATCACAAGCTTTTGCGTGAGTTTGCCCCAAACTTAGTTCTTTAATGGCTTCCTCTGTGCCCGAGCGGTGAAGCTTAATGTCTTAAAGAATACATCTTCAAAAGGTTTTCGTGCCGTTTTGTATCCTGGTCGTTAAAAGAAAAAAGCTTCCTCTATTTCTCAAGCTCACAGACAGACACGAACTTTCCCAGTCTCACAGCACGAACCTTTTCTTCTTTATTTTTCTTCGTACCTTCACTGTTGGCACAAGGTGAACAGGCTCCGCGGCTAGACCCCGAAGCTTTCGTGGGTTGCGTGATGAACTTGGGCAACCCATGGGTTTAGCGCAGTTCATGGTCCGGCTCAGGGTCCATTTCAGACATCCTTCCTGTAACCTTTGTACTTCCTACTTGGGCTTCTTCGACCCTTCCGCTCCCCCCCCCCCTGCCTCCAGCCTCTCTACACATTTTACACCAAATAATACATCTCTAAATACCCCCTCGCAGTTCCACCACGGCCTTAATCTGAAACGTTAACAGGGGCCAAGTTTGCGGCGTTCGGCCAAACCGAAATACCCTTCACCGGGCTCTGTAAGGCCTTTCTTTGCGGGAAGGGTTCCGAGTGTACTGGAAGGCTCATAAGGAGTCATTGTGGGGTTCACCCCTTCCCCCCCCCCCCCCCCCCCCCCCCCCCCCACGCCCCCCAATGCAAGGAGAAAGCAGTTCTGGCCAAAGATGCCGCCGGCAAGCTCCTTCCCTTGGTGGACGCTTCGTTGCACAAAACGGTCAGGGGCTTCGAGGTTCCTCATCCGCTTCTTGTTTGGCCCGAGTTTGGGTAGATCTCATGTATGTTTGCTTCGTCTGTGCCGTTGTCCCTTTTCAGGGCATTGCTTTTTTTCTTAATATTTGGTTTCGGCAGGTCGTTTCGTGTTCTTCGGTGTTTGGGTTGGGGTAAAGTTGCCCTTAGTTGGGTTATTCATAGAAGAACCTAACGTAAAGTCTTGTCTGGACTTACTTGGGTTAGTTATATTTCTAATGATATGGTTCTGGTTCGGGTTGTTTAAACAAATTATTTTGATGTTTGTTGGTTTGTTGGTGGATGGCGACACGACATTTTTCCGATTCGACATGTACAAACAAGTCATTCCATGGTTTGAGGGATTAGACCTCAAGCGAAACCTTAGTCCACAGCCCTCCGCAAAAGCCCTTCCGCAAAAACCGTAAACCCTGAGCCTCCCAACCCGCACCTTATTCTTTTCCAGTCGCCACTTCTTCAGGTTCCTCCCTCTTGCAAGGGCCCAGGACCCTGAACCTTAAACCCCTAAACTTCCGAAACCGAGCCCTAAGCCCGCTCTCCAGGAGCCCTGTGCACAGACGTCGCCGTGGCCGCTGCCTAGTTGCACGCAAGAGGGCATAGTGGTTCTTGGCACTCAAATGATGACGACTCCGAGTTTAGGGGGTGATGAAGTCCGAAGCCTAAGCCCTACATTTACCACAGTTTTTGAAGAGGCGTCAGCGATAGAATAATGTTCTTTGGAGGCTAAAAGGCCTGAAGGAGTTCGTCCATGACAAGACCCGCCACGACTTCTCCGGCCCCTTCGCGCTTGAGGTGGGAACTCTACAGGCTCCCACGTAGTACCCTTTTTTCGTGTACTATAGCTACCCCAAAAGGAACTACATTAGAAGCCGTTGGGTAAGCACCCTAAACCCTAACCTGCGGGGATAGGGGTCAACAAAATTAAAAAAGGGATCAAAAACACAATAAAAGGGATCAACAAAAATAAACCCTAAACCCTAAACCCTAAACCCTAAACTATACCCTGAACCATAAACCCTAAACCCTAAGCCCTAAACCCTAAACCCTAAACCCTGAATCCTAAACCCTGAACCCTGAACCCTGAACCCTAAACCCCAAACCCTGAGGATTCAACCCTCAGTTGTTTATTTTTTTTGATCCTTTTTCTTTTTGACCCGGCAGCCCTGCGAGCCATTTTGCAACCTAACGCTCCCTAGACCAGACTCTTGACCCTAAGGCCGAAGCTGCCCCAAAACCTGAAACCACCCTGAACACCCCTTAAAAACCCCTAAGCCCTAATACCCTACAACCCTATGAACCCTTATCTGCGCTGAGCGGTACACCTTTGGGGCCAGAACACCTCGTTGCCCAAAAACGCAACTCCAGTGTTTTTCGCTTTTTAGCGAATGACGTTGGGGGTATTCCTGTTTTAGAACTACTTGAAGGTTCATGGTACTGTAACTGGGCTTATAACCCTACTTTTAATTGGGATAACCCCTATACGGCCCTTTAGGGGTATTATAAGTAGGGTTACAAGTACAGTTATAATTGGTTAGTAAGTACCATGAACCTACCCTAAACCCTAAACCCTAAACCCTAAACCCTAAACCCTAAACCCTAAACCCTAAACCCTAAACCCTAAACCCTAAACCCTAAACCCTAAACCCTACAAGTAGGGTGGAGGGTTTAGGGCTTTAGGGGGGTATTGGACTTACATCTCCGGGAAGCCTCGACCCCGCTCGACCTGCACCATGAACGCTTCTAGCTCTTGGCCTGAATCGCAGACCCTAAGCCCTAAACCCTAAACCCTAAACCCTAAACCCTAAACCCTTTTAATAAACCCGAAAGCCCGAAGCCCCGGCCATGATGAGCGCAGGCCACGAGATTTCCGCCCTCTGTCCAAAGCCCCGCAGCGGCCATGAGGGTGGGTTTAGGGTTTAGGGTTTAGGGTTTAGGGTTTAGGGTTTAGGGTTTAGGGTTTAGGGTTTAGGGTTGGGGAAAAGGGGGTCCTGAACCCCTGGCCCCCCGAAAACCATCAGCCCTCAACCCCCTAAACCCTAGACCCGGGTATTTTGAGGGTTTAGGGTTTAGGGTTTAGGGTTTAGGGTTCCGGGTTTGGTTTCGCCAAATCCCGAATCGCCCCCGAAACCCCGCTTCCCTGGACGCTGCCCAGCTTTGCGGCTCAGGATGTGTCCCGCTGTCCATGTCTTGTTGGGATACAAGCAACGGGGCTGCACAAGGGCTCACCCCTAAGACCCCCCCCCCAAAACAAAACTTCCTTCAAAAGGGGGTTTAGGGTTTAGGGTTTAGGGTTTAGGGTTTAGGGACAATATTGAGATTCTTATCTTTCATTTTTACATCAAATAGCAGCCTGTAGCTCCTTGTTGTTGTGTGCCCAGTTTTCGATGTCATGATGCTACTCACAAAACCAGGTACCCCCCGAAAAGGAATGACAACTAGAGGGGATCTGGATCTTGTGTGTATATTTATTTATTTATTTATTTATTTATTTATTTATTTATTTATTTATTTTTTTATTTATTATTATTATTGCTACTATCATTATTATTATGATTATTATGACTATTATTACATGGATAATATTATAATATTATTATAATACTCTCTCTCTCTCTCTCTTTCTCTCTCTCTCTCTCTCTATATATATATATATGTATATATATATATATATATGTATATATTTTTTTTTTGAGGGGGGGGGGTGGGGCGTTTTGGGCTTACGCACGACTTGGCCAGTTTTCAGGGTTTTAGTGCTTTTCAGGGTTGAGGAATGTTTAGGCCTTGGGGGGCCTTCTCTGGTAGTTGGCTGTTTGACTTGTCATGGCTGACAGGAAGGGAGTATGGGGTTTGTCCTGCAGTAGGTTGTATGACGGACCTTACGTCCGAAACCTTAAGCTGAATGTTCAAGGCTGAGGACTGTATTGTGTGCCGGTTCAATGCAACAGGTGAAGATTTGGTGGGAAAGAACCGGCCACCAACCACCCCAGTCTTCCCAATGGTGGCCGGGCCTTTTCCACCAAATCTTCACCTGTGATCTTGTTATGCGCCGTGCAAAACCTTTGTGCCAGCCTTAGCACGTACAAGAAGTTTGAAGCCTTAATGCATCTAATTAGTGCATGCATATCCTATAGTGGTACCGCTGTCCACGCCCTTAGCCAGAGTCGGGCATGGTGTCGTCAGCGCACGCATCACAAGGGCACGAAGACTGCCAGAGGAAAGCCATGAGTTGTACATTGTGCATGTTCTCCTGTGCAGACGCACAGGGAGTAGGGTTTAGGGTTTAAGGCTTAAGATGGGGGCCTTAGCAACTAGAATAGGGTTTTTGGGGGCCATCATAGTAAAATTATATAGGGACCAAAAAAGGGAACACGAATCGTAGTTGTTCCGACCCTGTACGAGAGGGTTTAGGGCTCAGGGTTCACCAGCCCAGAACAGGAAATGCCTGGCAAGACCGGCTGGCAGATGGCAAGGCTGCTAGACGAAATGCCCTGACGCTTGCACGAATACTCAAAGTACAGGGGTTTGGGTGGGTTCAACTTTGCTAGTGGAAAGCTTGTGCGAGCCTCAATTGGTTCTACTGATATGAGATTTCAGGGTTTAGGGTTTAGGGTTTAGGGTTCGTCTTTCATGTGCAGACCGCTGCCGTCGCTTAATTGGCCTCTCAGGAGCCTCAGCGCGTGTCCGCGCCTGAGAGGTGTCACCGTTGCGGAGAGGGCAGTCGGTCACTGACTCATACAGTCAAGGGGTATAAGGAGGGACCCCCAGAAGGGAACCCTAATAGCCCCTATATATACCTGAGAGTGTCCCTATATACCTAAGCAGCCCCTAAATAACCCCCAAAGAACCTGCAAGGTCTTTTAGGTCCGGGTCCCTCCCTGAGCCCCCCTTGATGCAGTAAACACAGGATAGCTCCTCGGGGAGCTTTGGGCTTTTTTTCGTTGCGCTTCGGGCTTCGAAGGGTTTAGGGTTTAGGGTTTAGGGCTGCGTCTCAGGCCGGTTCTGCTGTGACCGGAGCGTTTCCCGTCCTCTGCGTGGCTCGCCAGCATGGGCGACCCTGCCTAAATAATAAACCCTAAACCCCGAACCCGAAGCCCTAATACTATAGACTCTGCACTTTCAGCACACGAAAGCAGCAACGCCCTCTCATCTAGACCGTTGTTGGACAGAACCTGTGTTTTTGTCTACCGCGTTGCTGTTTCTGGGGCCTGTTAACGTTTAAAGTAACGAACCTTGGGGGATGTTCCCCCCTATACTGACCAAGTCTGTGGCACCGGAGGAGCGGGCTGCTTCGATGCGGTGTTCACGGAGAAGCGCTGCTGCAACGCTTTGGAGCCTTGAGAACCCTCTGAGCTCCTCTGACAGCAGAGTGCCGAGTTTGGGTTTTCAGGGCTGTGGCCATGGTGGGCATGGTTGGCCCTTGGCTTGAGTGCTCCGCGAAGACCTTGGCATCCTCGTTTCGGGATTCCTGCTCGCCGCAACGTCCGTGGTGAAGATGGCGCGATTGAAGTGAGAAGGCGGAGGCCTCCTGCATGGGCCCTGCGAGGGCAGCTGGTTGCCAGAGGGCCCTGGGTCCCCGATCTTCGCCCCGCGATTCTGGAAGTCTCCACTTGCCCTGGGCCCATGCCGTACAGCGACCCGGACCGAGGCACCCAAGGGAGTTGGGTCTTCTCTTAGAAGCAGGTGGGACCCCGGAGCCGGGCTCTTTCTATCTGAGGATTTCGAGAGCGGCCCCAAGAAGGGCGTAGGACTTGAGCTTCTGCTTGCTCGTTCTCCGCAGTCGCCTGGCAAGAGTGCTCGGTGAGAAAAGGTGTGTGTGTGTGTGTGTTGTTTACATCCAGGTCCGTATAGATACCTGCACCCTAAACGCTAAACCCTAAACGCTAACCGCTAAACCCGAAGCCCCAATCCGAAAACCCTAAACCCTAAAGGGTTCACCTACTAGGCCAGCAGACCCCCCGACAGTGCCAATCCGCTCCAAAGACCACTCCAAGAGGATTCAAAAAGAGCACACCTGATTATTCCCGTTAAAGATGGGACATATGGGTTTAGAGTTTAGGGTTCATTTAGGTATAGACCTTAAATCATATTCAGGATCCCAATCAAAAGGGGCCAAAACAGTCCTTCACTTGACGAGGGGAATGCGCACGGAGCCAAGGCGAGAGTGTCACAGTAGAACGGTTGCACCAAGCAAAAGCCCATCCAAGAGCCAAAATGCAAGACAGTGCTCCTCTCAGACGTTTTTGTGACGTGGAACGGTGCAAGCTTCAAGAAGTACGTGCGGCCCGGGCGGGAGCACGACTTCGATTTGGGACGCGCACGGGACCTAAGCGGGCGCGCGACTTGGCACCCTGCGCAAGGCCGGGCGAGAGCCGGTCAGGGCAATTTAAACCCCTTTAGTCTTGATGTTGGAGCCCTCATAGTGTCATAGTGTTGACGCAGGGACAAAAGTCGAATTCTGAGCCCCTGGAGCTCCAGTCGTCCTCTGCATGCTACGTTTACAAAACAAGCCTCTTCAGCCACTGCAACTCTGGTCGTCCTCCGCGCGTTGTGTACCAGCAAAGTCGACGTTCCAGCCGCTAGAGCACCACTTAGGGGTGCTTGGAAATGTTTTTTTTAATTTTTGGGTACTATAATTCCTTAAAAAAAAACAGCACAAACAACATAATTTTTGCTGGGGTGCCAAGTTCAGTATAGAGCCACGAAAGTCGACTTTTGGAGCCAGTGGAGCTCCAGGAGTCCTCCTCGCTACGTTTGTGCGTCGAAAAGTGCCGATGTTGGCCGCAAGAACCGGTGCTCTCGCCCTGGCTGTGACGCACTCTCCGGAGCTGAAGTGGCCCAAACATCGCAATACGCGGAGGCGGAGGCCGTCCCAGAGGTCCAGTGGCTCAAAACATAAAAAGCATATTAATAAGGGACCCTACCATAGACCACAAATAGTAGGAGCCCCTTAGAGTAAGGACCCCTAATATCGTAAGAGTACCTTAACCTCAACCCTCAACTCTCACCCCTCAGCTTGGAAAAGTGCACCGAGCTCTACAATAGAGCACCATTGCGAAGACGGAACGTGCACGGGACAGCGAGAGCATGATTTGGCATTCTTTTTTCAGCCCCCTAAGTCCACTAAGTAGGTTATAAGTAGACTGAAGACTGCGGGTATAAGTACCCCATGAACCTCCAAGTGGTCATATGAAAAAGCCCCCGGTTCCAGGATGAGGGGGGTCGGGGTCGGGGTCGATGGTTAAGGACAGAACCCTAAGAAAGTCAAAGGGAGCCTCGGCAAGGAGGCTGAAGACAGACCAATGTTGGGGGTTTAGGGTTTAGGGTTTAGGGTGTACTGTAGGGTTTCGGGTTTAGGGTTTCGGGTTTAGGGTTTAGGGTTAGGGTTTAGGTTTCAGGGTTCAGGGTGGGGTGAGCGCTTTGTGGTTCAGGGCTTTGGGGTTTTTGGGTTTGCAGATTAACCCGACTGATTGGAAGCAACTTTGTACAGCAGACACGGGACAGGGTTGAGGGAGCGTCGTCGAGGGATGCTGTGATGAGGAGCTCCTTTCCGCCTATTTCGTACTTGGAGGTTCAGAGTACTTATTAACCAACTGTAACGGTACTTATGACGGTACTTATGAGGCTTATAAGTGGGTTATGAGTACAGTTTTAATTGACTTATAAGTACCATAAACCTCCAAGTACGGACTGCACACCCTGCAGCTGTTGTGTTTGCAGCACTTGTATCGTCTGACCCACATGTGTTGCATCTTCACTTTCACCTGGTTAGATATGACAAGTCTAAACGCGAAGCCCACGCAAGACCCGAAGATGATTGCACAAGCCGAACAGCAAGCCCCCTTGACCCTAAACCCCTAACCTCACACACAGCGCCCAACGCTTGCGTGCCTCCTGGTCATGCTGAGCCGCTTCCGTCAGGCAGGGCGGCTGGTGTGTGTTTGATACATCATGCGCGTCACTCAGCGACAGCCCATGCTCTGAACCTAAACGTGCTGGAATCCTCTATGTGTGCTGTGAGGATAATGGCCGACTCCTTTGACCTCTGGGGGGCCTCGCTTTGCTGGGGCTATGAGGCACAGGGTTGAGGGTCAATGGGGGAAGATTCGGGGTGTTTAGAAGGATGGGTTTGGGCATCTCAGGGGCTTAGGGTTTAGGGCTGTGGGTGTCGAGTTGAGGATCTAGGGATCAGGTGTGAGGTTTAGATGTGAAAAGGGTTGAGGATTTAAAGTTTTTAGTGTAAAGCTTTGGGTTTCGGGCGTAAGGTTTGGGGCTTAATAGAGACGGATGGCAGAAGGAAGCGTCGTGGCACGCTGTCTTCCTCGTCCCTCACGTAAGTGGAGGATATTTACGCGACTTGCGATCCTGACATGCAAATCCCTGAGCCCATGCCTCCACAAAGGCTTTCCTGTATTAATCTCAATTCTACTGGTTCTGAAAGGGGATCAACTACCTTATATCCCACTATAGAAGTTGAAAGTGGTACGTAGGGTGTGTGCTTAATTCCCTAATTCTCTGCCAATCAGTGAACGTATTCTTGCGAACAGCTCCTCTATATGGTCCCTGTGTTAGGGTAGCCCAAGTAGAGGCTCCGTGTTATGATACTAGATATCCTAAACCTTGAACTCCACTTGGGGAAGCTATTTTGACTTAGCAAGTCTACTTCGTATCCCCTCGAAACCCTCGTAGAATCCCCATAGCCCACCTTACTTGAAGGTTCATGGTACGTAATAATGGGCTTACGTATAATTGGGATAACCCCTATAAGGCCCTTTAGGGGTATTATAAGTAGGGTTATAAGTACAGTTATAATTGCTTAGTAAGTACCATGAACCTTCGACCCTGTTTACTGAGCCAGATGGGCTTCCGAGTCCATCTGACACCCGGATAGGGTTTTAAGGGTTGACGGTTTGGGGTTTCCCGTGCAGCAATCTCGGCCATGGCCTGGCGCAACAGCAGTGCGCACCCGAAGACGTTGTCTACCCGCTGAATAGATGCACGGCTGGCAGCGCGTGGCATTCAAAAACGAGCCCCTAGACCCTAAACCCTAAACCAAACCCTAAACCCCAAGCCCTAAACCCTAAACCCTAAACCCTAAACCCTAAACCCTAAACCCTAAACCCTAAACCCTAAACCCTAAACCCCCCCCAAGGCCCAGACTGACCTGTGCGCAGGATGCCCCAGCTCCCGTGCCTCCGCCCCACGAAGGCGAGCTTAGCACTTTAGAGGGGCACTTGGAGGTTCATGGTACTTATTAACCCGATTATAACTGTACTTAGAACCCACTTACAAGCCCTTTAAGTGCCCTTATACGGTTATAAGTACAGAGGGGCACAGGCAAGTTTCCGACTTCTCTTCGGTGTCAGATGCTCGAGGAGAGTTTAGGGTTTAGGGCTTAGGGTTGACGGTTCAGGGTTCAGGGTCCCGTTTCAGGGTTCAGGGTTCAGGTTACAGGGTTTAGGGTTTAGGGTTTAGGGTTTAGGGTGTAGAGACTGAAGCAACACAGTGCCCAGAGAGCCCAAGACTCCCCCCCCTTTAGATAAGCAAAGACACCCAGGCCCGCAATGTGTGATCTTAATTTTTCGTCTTCGTTCATGGAGAGGTACCCAAAGAGCCCAATGCCCCTTAATTAAGGATATATTCCTTAAATCATATTCAGGTAACCCCTTTGTAATTTAAGGAGTATTCCTTAATTAAGGAGTATTGGGCTCTCTGGGTATGATATATTTACGTATTTATATCCAGGTCTCTCTACCGAATAAATGCAGAAAATACATCTAGGGTTTAGGGTTGGGGGTTTAGGATATATATATGTATATATATATGTCTATATGTACATATAGATCTTGATTGTGTGTGTATACATATATACATCTTAAATCCTAAGCCCGACAACCCAAAATCATCGGTGAGCCTCACAGGCGTGGCTGCCGAGAAGAGTGTCGACGTCTTCGCCGTAAAGGGAAGCGCCAGGGACAGCTTCCAGGCCACAGGGTTTAGCGTTTAGGGTTTAGGGTTTAGCGTTTAGGGTTTAGGGTTGAGGGGTTTAGGGTTTAGGCCCCTTTGCAGGACAGGCCAGAAGCCCTAGACCAGAAGCCGAGGGTTGTCTGCCCAGTTTTTGAAATTAATGAGGGCCGTTTTCGGGGGATTAGGGTTTAGGTTTAGGGTTTAGGGTTTAGGGTTGTTAGCATATGGAGACTAGTGCCCAGCACACCCCAAAAAGGAACCCAAACTTAGAGAGCTGCATGCAACCCTGGTGTAGTGTCGAGAGTGGTTTGGTCGAGTTTGCCTTACCATGGACAACGCCGTTGAAGGGTCTCCAAGAAGCCGAGAGCCCCCCC